AGACATCGCTAATGTCCGATCGCTCTAAACAGGTTCGCGTTTCCATTACCATGCTCTAACTAATAGCAGTCGATTGTTGTAATTCTACTTAACATCTTAAAATATGCAAAATACGTAAGCATCGTTTATTATAACGATCGATTGAGAAACTATGTGAAAGTTAATCAGATCGTTAATCCACAGATCATTAATCGAGGTTTTTCCATTTTCCTTTTTTGGATGTAATCAAAAATACCGCAATCATGACAATGGTCCCAGTGTGGCTGACGTATGTAACTAACAGTTCCGTTTCTCAATCGATTTTGTTCTTTTCCTCATTTTCTCTTGTATTATCTTCTGTTATAGCCGATATATGTGTGTTTGTGTGTGTGTGTGTGTATGGTGATAATGAGATAAAATTTAATAATATTATATAACGTAACAATTGTTGGCCGAAAAAAAGTAACTGCGTTTTCTTTTCTTTTTTTTCTTTTTATGCATACGAATTTTTCCACGAGAAACAAAAACTTTGTTATTAATGTACATCGACCATTTTGTTCGATTACTTTTTTTGCCATCTTTCAGGCAACTTCGAAAGAACTCCTCTTTCTTTGTCGAAAGAAAGTTCCAAGAATTGATATCCTCGTCAGTAGTGAAATTTAGCAAACCAATTCCGACAAGCCCTTGCAGTTTGAAGGCTTTTTTTTTATCGTGCATATCGGATAATTTTTTAGAATATGACGAAAGTGTTCCTCCTTGGAAAAATTCTCTCTTTTTAAAACGAGCCTGAACAATTAAGTTTGTCAAATCGCACACAGAATCCGCGGTTTAACGCTAGAACCAGCGGCGATTGAAACGTGAGATTTCCATCAGAGATGTCAAAGTAAAGAAAGAAAAAGAAAAGGAAAGAAACTTTATAATTTCGACACAAAGTACACAAGACTTTTCTTTCGTTTATACATTATTTCAACAATACGTCCGTAGAAGATCCATAACTGAAGAAGAAATTGGTCATTTTTTGACCATTTTGGCAGTTCTAGTGTTAAAATGAAATTAATCTACATCTGTTGCTTTTAAAAAACACAATTATTTTTTGTCCAACTCACCCCCTCCCCCAGCAATACAACAGCATAATGGAAGAGAAGGAATTCTTACAATATCGAAGCCGACATCGTAATGCGTTCCTCTAACGTAAATGACGGGGATCGCTTGCCTCCTGCCGATATCCTTCGCATTGCCAGTCACCTCTTGATCCGACATGATCGTTTCTGGACAACAAAAAGAGTGATTGCGACTAAAATTTCAACTTCAATTTCGGCTATTTCGTTTTCGTACATTGGCGAAGAGAGCAGCTCGTTATCTATATAT